GACTGGGTAGGAATGGGATCGGCGCGATTGCTTTCTGTTTTCAAATCTGGGAAATTCGTTGTCAATATGCGTTCTGGGAGGTATATATTCTTGTGGGTTTAACCACTCTGTTGTATATTCAAGGTTTACCAAATGAACGGAGCTTGTCATTTTGCGCTGACAGTTTCATCCGCCCTTGATACCTTGATCCGCCGGCGGATGCTGGAGATTTCTGACAGCAACCGCAGTGACTGGACATTCTCAGGTTCCGAATTATCGAATAATCGAGATCACAATAGCCGACAGAAGATGCCAGATGCAAGCTTCAGCCGTTTCCTTCCAGAGAGGGCAGTCTGCACCAGAAGAAATGGACAGACTTCACGACCGGGCTATTTCAGCGCCCAGAAGGTTGTCGGGCGCTGGTCCACATTCCAGACGCTCTGCGGCCTGAATATCCAGACAAAAAGGCTGAATGCATGACCGTCAAGAATAGCACAGCCATCAAGATCTCCTTCCTGACATTCCGCAGGGACCAAGATCATAGGATGCACCAGAGTGAACGACCCCCTCTATTCCGCCGCCTCCACTTTCATTTCCGCCAGCGGACGTCTTCGCACCGCCTTTTCTCCGCTCCGCCGTCCTTTTTCGGATCGTTCTCCTTGCCGCTTTTGCGGGAGGACGAGCCCGAGGACAAGGTGCAGCCCTAAGACGCACTAAGACACTTTGGGCATCAAATTACACCTCGGACGCGTTTGGAGGAGCGCATCAGACGCTTAGAGACAGTAATCATTGATTCGCTCCTTGGTTGTAGGCAGCGATTGGTGCCCGATGAAGTCATAGACCTTGTGCTTGAGACACCCGTAGCCAAGTTCGCAGTCTGCCTAGGCTGTAGATGCGAAACGCACGGTTTTCACTCACGTAGAAGCGTAGTCCCTGGTGTCCTGTACGCGTCAGTGGTAGCCCTGTAAATCACCTAGAAGTCGCGAAGTATAACGATGTATCCAGGCAAAGAACCACGGTTGGATCTCCGGGCGTGTCACTTGACCTAGAGCAAACGTGTGAGGAGATTACCTCCAGACATTCAAAAAGAATGATGAGAACACCATGGAATAGAGAGAATAAGAGCCTTAATTAAGGTTTGCTATCGATAGTCAGCTGGACTAGTTGAATGTGATGCGACTAGTCGATATAAAGTGGACGTTGATAATGTGATTACCCCTGAATCAAGACAACCTGAAACCCGGAAGACCACTATGACTCTTGCGACATAGTTACGAACATGGAAGATCCTCTGAAGATATTGTTGAACACGATGTGCCAGGATTGAATAACTAATTATATCATGTACTGTGCTCGCAACTTAAGTTCTGACTGTTGTTTCCGAAGTATTTGATGTGGATGTATATTCTGATCTGGAAAGCGTGCTACAATATTGGGCTCCAATGGCCCATGTACTACGGAGTGTAGACAGTAGAAAACTATAGTTTGGCAGCTTGAAGAGCTGAGATCGCAGCCAGACATCCCTTCAATTAAGACTAGGGTTTCAGCTTGGCCAGTGGAGGTTTCTGCGCGATGCATGGGTGGGAGAAACGGAAAACATCTATGGATGCTGAGATGGAGGAGCTAGGAATGCTACTGCCCTCAATTATGGAGTACTCTTAGGGATTGGATCTGCCTCAGCAAGTGCATCGATCTTCAGGCTGGAGTAAACTGACTATGTCCAGTATATTTACGTTCGCTGTCAGCATCACATTTGCACAATTTGGCGAGGCTCATTGAAAGATATCTCATTTCGTACATGTCACCCCCAGTGCCATGAAAATCTTTACTATTTATAGAAGTGATTATGCTCGATATACAGCAGCCAACGCATCAGAAAGCAAAGGTCTATTGGAAAGTTCGCTCTTCCTCAATTGCCCGGTTGATGACGCGGACAAACCGGCCCACCTTGTCGGGATCCTGCTTCGCTGTCTCAATACCCAAAAGCACCTTCTTAACGCCAACGCCGATAGTTCTATCTTCGGTGATGCCACCAACTTCTGCCAAAGCCTGGTCGATCTCGGAGGCATCAAATGCTCCGGACTGCTCCATGAGATGACGCAGCTCATCGTAGGACATCACGTTGGGAACCATGATATCCGAGTTGAAAGAGTTATAGATGTCCAACTGTTTGAGCACAGCGCGCTCCGTTGTGGTGGCAAGGATAAGCAGCCGTCGGCCTTTGGTAGGCTGTTTCCTCAGGAAGACCATTAAGGTCTGAAGGATAGTGTTGCTGAAACGAGGACCGATAGGGACCCAGTCGATGATTCTCTCCATATTGTCAACGACAACGACACTCGTGCGACTCTTGTAAGCATCATCGAAGATTTTGCTGATGTACTGGACTCTGGCCATTTCACTATAGCCGACCATATCCTCGGGGCTAATAAGCTTGATGAAGGGGAAACCTGAGTCAATCGCGATTCGAGCGGCCAGAGCAGTCTTTCCACTGGCGGTGGGACCATGCAACAGAACAGAAAAGAGAGGCGAGGATTCAGCATTGCTGACTTGCTTCACGAAAAGCTCTCCTTCTTTCAGGATTTCGTTAATTGTAGGGGAGTAATGGATGATGCCGTATTGGATACGGCTAGAGAGCTGTTCCTCTGATACACCAAAAGCAGGCTGGACCTCCTCCAGCGCATGGTGGAAATCGGCTCTGTTGACCTTCATGTTTACGACATCTTCGCTGATGCCGGCCATGGTACCGACCTTGACATGCCGGGTAAAAGCAAACGAAGACGCAGACTTGACAAGGCCAGCAATTTCGGCGCCGGAGAAGTTCTTAGTAAGGAGCGCGAGCTCAGCCAGGTCAACGTCTGGATCCATAACATTGTTTTCCCTCATCTTCTGGGTGTGGATCTTCAAAATCTGAGCCCGTCCATTCTCGTCCGGAAGAGAAATCTCCATGTGCACTTCGAGACGGCCCGGTCGCAACAAAGCTTCGTCAATCATGTCCTTTCTGTTGGTCATACCAATCAGGAGGATATTGTTCAATTGATCAACACCGTCCAGTTTCGACAGCAGCTGGTTGACCACACTGTCACCAACGCCTGTGCCACCACCTGCTCCGCTGCCACGTTGCTTACACACAGCATCCAACTCGTCAAAGATAATGATATGTAGTCCACTCTCCTCGCCTTTTTCCTTATATTCTTTTTCTGCATCGGCAAACAGCTTTCGGATGTTCTCCTCCGACTGACCGACAAACTTGTTCAGCACTTCCGGACCGTTGATGACCTTGGGCTCCCTCGCGTTCAACATCTTTCCGATTTGCCGTGCGATCAAGGTCTTACCCGTTCCCGGGGGGCCGTAAAGTAAAATACCCTTCACGTGCTGGATACCAAGCTTTTCGACCAACCCAGGAGGGAAGATACGCGATGCAAACGCACGACGGAAAATTGTGCTGAACTCCGCATCAAGACCTCCGATTCCCATATCTTCGAACTTGAAGTCGGGTGTGATAATAGAGTTGGCTGCGGGGCGACGATTCGATGGCTTCAAGTTGATGCCGGTGCGGGCATCCTTGAAGAAAGTAACCTGGGTGTGCCTTGTCAAGATTCCTCTCGCTGTGGGGTCCGTTTCAGTGCTTCCAGCAGCAGCCCCAGCTTTCTCCGATGTAAGATCGACCCGCTGAACGGTCTTGACAGTCAGGAGCAGCGGTATGCTCTTATGATCCATCAAGATCTTCTGACCCGGAGAGAAGATCTGGTTCTCAAAGTTCTAGAGAAAGTTAGTGCTATGCAAAAGTCACCGATCCAAACGAGTATTTACCTTGATCACGGCGTTCGCCAACTCATCTTGGTCGTACGGAGTCTCGACCCTCTTTTTCCCAGCAAAGCCGACTTCAATATCTGTCGATCCCAGATAGGCTTGTCCGCCCTGACTGAACGGATCGAATATCTGAGCCTTGACTGAATCTGTAAAAGCAACGCCTGCCCATGTCCGCTGGGGATCGGACATGCTGATATGTCCAGGAGGGAAACCATCGAGAGGACGAGCAGAAAAGACATAGAGATCGTTCACAAGGAGTAAAAGGTCAAGTCCGTCGCGGGAAGGCGGGAAGTCCTGTGTTGAGACGGCAACACTGTTGACGTTAGCTGGGTAACTTATGAAACCGGACTTCACATGCACAAAACTTACAGGTTCCCAAACGTATAAGAGTTGTCAGGGCTCTTCGCAGGTCGTAGCGTCCATACCTGGGCCGACGCACCGGGCGCCCTGCCCCCAACTGGGTTTCTTGGAGATGTCTGCGAGTAACCTGGCCTGGGTGGCGGAGTTCCATAACCCCTTGATTGATTATACGCATCAGTCATCTGGACATCGTGATCAGACCGATGCGGCGATTGTTCATACCCTGCGCCACTCATCGGCGAATGGCCAGTATCATACCCATCTCTTCGAGGAGGTGGGGGACCTTGACCAGGACTCGCATTGCCTTGAGAGGGCCGACCTGAGAAGGGATTCGGTACAGATGGATAGTTGTTGCGGTTGAACATGATGATTCTAACAAAGGTGGGACATTCGAGAACTATTCGATTAGGCGATGGTTGCGAGCCTGTTGTTGAGAGGCGCGGTGGACGATGAGACGCAAGTGTGGTATAGGAGCCGGAGTAGCTTATTGAAGCTTGCGGCGATCGTCAAGATAACCTGTTTATGTGAGAAGGAATGTATGAGTGTTGCTAAAAACCGGAGATAGTATGTGTATTGAAAAGATTAATCGGGGAGAGAAGAAGCACGAGACTTGATCAACTTAAGGTTACTCTGTAAGAGACATGTGTATAACGTGGCGGGGGTATCTACTTAGGAAGTTGGAGACTAGTGCTGGAGTACCTAGGTAGATACCTGAGGCAGGGTTACTCACTTGCCGGAGCTCCCATAATTAGCCACATCGGCCCGTGAAACTCCGTTTCGCCGGTTCGGTGTGGCTTAAGCTAATGATGATCCACCCTTATCGCCTTGGGAGATCTCCGGCAACTCGTCGACTCTTAGGTAGTCTCCAGGCAGTTCGCTTGGGTTGATGCTCCGTGACCAGGTGCTCGCAGAGTATTCGATACACCATGCCTCTGTAAGTTCATTGAATTTGCTCATGTCTTTCTACCGCGCATACTGATGGATTGAGCAGTCACCTACTCGGCAAGAAGTCATGGAACGTCTACAATCCCGAGAACATCGCCCGTGTACGGCGTGATGAGGCTGAGGCTAAGGCCCGGGAGGAGGAAGAGGAACGCCGTATGCAAGAAATTGATGCTGAGCGCAGAATTCAAATTCTCCGTGGTGAACGGCCCTCTACCCCACCACCCCGCCGTCTGCTCCATCAGATACGCGACGCGACAGGACCCATGGAGAGGATGCTGGAAGATATAGAAAGCGGAGGCGACTGGCAGGTGAAAATGATACGGATCGCGATATCAGACTCGCGAGGGAAGATGCTCAGTTGATGCTGGCGAAAAGGGAGGAGCTCGCTGTGTCCAAGACCAGCGATGCGCCGCTTTTAGACAGTACCGGGCATATCAATTTATTTCCTTCCGAGGCAGCGCGGAAACCAGCAGAAAAAAATCAAGAGGCGGAGAAGGAGGCAGCTGACAAGAACCGGAGTTTTGAGGACCAATATACGATGCGCTTCTCGAATGCGGCGGGGTATCGACAGTCCGCTGGCCAAATGCCTTGGTACTCTTCCTCCGGTCGTGATGTTTTGGCGCCTGATGCTATGCCTGAAAAGGATGTTTGGGGCAATGAGGATCCGATGAGACAGGAGAGAGAGAGAGTCCGGCTAGATGCCAACGATCCACTTGCGGCGATAAAGAGGGGAGTTCGCCAGTTGAAGTCGGTCGAACTTGAACGGAAAAAGTGGAACCAGGAGCGAAAGAAAGAGTTAGATGCATTGAAAGAGGCAGAAAAACATAGGTTGCGTCATCGCAGAAGGAGATCAACGTCAAGATCAAAAGCGTCGGACTCTGGGGATAGTCTTGAAAACTTCAGCCTTGACGCACCTGACAAACATCAGGACAGAAAATCGAGAAGCTCACACCGACATCGCTCCCATCGCCGCGAAAGAAGTCGTGATCGTTCTCGCGACCATTCCCGCAAGCGACACCGTCACTCCCATTCCCACTCCCATTCGCACCGTCATCGTGATCACCATGAGCACGACCGAGGGGAAGCCCGCGAGGCGCAGTCGCACAAACGCCATGCGTGACACCTTTCGTTATGGAAGCTTGATCTTGATGTGAACGATACTTATACTGATTACAAGGGTTGACCCCTACATAGCTACGGATGGCAGAGCCAACCATGGTTGCTTCATGAGATGTGCATTTGTTTTCGAAATTGAGCGTCTCTCTATTTTGAGCGGTATGTTGGTGCCAACCAAGTATGAATCATGAATTACAATAGACAAAACTTTTGATTAACCGTTATAACTCATTGGAGCACCCATTTTTGGGCGCCCTGCTCGCCCGCTTGAGTGTGCCACTCGATGGTGATGTCCAGCGAGCGCGACCCTTCTTCTCTCTTCTGATAACCGACCTTGCCGGCGATGGTCTGACCCTTCTTTAGGGCGACTCCCTTCTTTCTCTCGCGGTCGATCAGGAGAACACCCTGTTGCCAATGCGTCTCCGGTCCGTCAGGGCCTGTAGTAAAGGCGACGAAACCCTTTTTCTGCATTTCTGAAGGAGCAGCGTTCTTCGGGATTGCAGAATCCTTAGAGGGCATGAAGAAAATATCAAACCAGATAGCGAAACCGTCAAGGGCATCGATATCTTCCTTCAGAGTAACTTGGAACTCCTTCAGGAACGAGAGCTCCTCCACGGTGATGGTGTGCAACGGCAGTTCTAGGAAGACATCGGAATCACCAGGAATTGCCGCAGGCTGCACGCTACGAACAAGCGCGTCGTCGTAGATGTTCTTGCGCATGCTGCCCATCTTGAAGCCGTACACATCGTCCCAGAATGAGATGTGCGACGAGATGAACTCGGAATCGGCGAACGGCGCAATACGTAGGGTGGCGTCCGAGGGTACCATCAGTCCTCCTGGAGCGAGATACCGGTCTCTGGCGTAAATGACCGAATCGAACATGGCCTCGAATAGAAGGCAGTAGCCCATCCATTCGGAGACGATAATGTCGACCTGGGGAACAGGCAGAGTGACTTCTTCAATCTTGCCACGGATGCATCTGATGTAATGTTAGATTCCGGTAGATGAATATCTGACGGGAAGCAGAAATACGTACGTGATCACGTCCCCAAAACCGTTTTCGTAGATGATTTCCTTGGCTCTGTCAATGATATTGGAATTGTCGACTGATATGACCTTCTTGGCACCTGCTTTCGCGCAGAACATGGAGAGAATGCCAGTTCCACATCCGACATCTAAGACGACCTTGTCCTTGAAGAGATGCTTGTTGTCGTAAATGAAATCGCGATAGGAGTCAGTACGGACAGTGTCCTTCAGCATGGACTCGTGAATAGCTTCAAACATATAACAGTTAGCAAAAGGCATATCCAGCTCGAGGACCTGTGGAGAACTGACCATTGTACGAGTAGGAGACGAAGTAATCTGCGTCTGCCTCCTCAACCTTGCTCATCTTCTTGCCGGACGGACCGCTGGGCGATGATCCTAATTTCTCATCTTCCTTGGACAACTGCTCTTCCATTGACTTTTGCACAGCCATTCTATACTCAGTGAACTGGCTCTGGAGGCGTTCAAGGTCCTCCTGCAGCTCGATCACGCGGCGCTCTGCCTCAGTGGTACCGGCTGTCGCTGATTCTTCGTCTTCGATATCGTCCAAGCTATACAAAAGGGCGTCGTCTTCAAGGACCGGCTTCAAGTAAGCCTCGTCCTCAAATTTATCTTTCGAAGACACATCCGGGGTCGTATTCCCAGCTTTGACTTCAGACCGGACATAATTGACTAATTTGATAGTACCAAGAAAATCCAAGTCTGATGTGGAACGTAACAAGTTAGCTAGGATTTCTCGCAATCAACCATGATCATGCCCATATTGGGAGCATCAGAACAATAACGAGAACAGAGCACCCAACAATGGATATTACCCACCAAGATCCTTTCGAATCTTCCGCAAGTCAAAGCCATGCTTGTCTTTAGACTCCTGGAGCATCGACCGTACATCGGGGTAGAGCTTATCGGTAAACAGGCCAATTACCGGCTGTGTCTCGTCATCAGGCTCAACATCTTCCCATCCCTCTTCGTTGCTGATATCCGAATCGTCTGAGGAGGTGGTCGAGAGGGCATCTTGGTCCCTTAAGGGACGGTCTGAGGGAATTGTGGCAGACATTGACCAATTCAAGTCTGGTCAAGGGTAATTTAAATTTGTGAACTCCTAATTTCTAGGATTCTTGATTATTTGGACGGAATTGTGGCGACCAATGGACCATGTAAATATATGGATGGAGGGGTTCAAGCGATTGAGGGGACCAAAATCGGTAAGAAAAAGAAAAAAAATTGAGTTATCACAACAGAACCCGCTGGTTGCCCCGCCCGATGCTGGCTGGGTACTTTGTTTATCGGCTCTCCGCCTGACAACAGCTCATCCCCCTCAGACCGATAGGGCAGATAACAAGTGGGAGCTGAGACGGACCTCATTATCATCAGCATCATCGTCATCACCACCACCATCTCCTTCTCCTTCTCTATCTCTTTCTGCTTGTAAAGGCTCACTGCTTCCTTCAGTCGAGACAGAGCAAGTGTTCATGTTACCCTTCTTCTGCTAGGGATCAATTGCTTGCCCTCCAATCTTTCACATGTACTGAATAGCTCATTGTCTCCGATCATTTCTTTGTTTCTTCTACATCAAACTTTCCTGTCCGATACATATTACATTTTATATCAACGGAAATGGCTTTCCTCTGGCGGAATCGACAACGGCCTCCTTCTGATGTCGTCCGAACAATCAAGGAGATATTGTTAAGACTGGGAGAAGCTCCGGCAGCTGCCAAGGTCAGTCTCAGACGTCCCCTCTGCTTGTTTATGCCATATATTGTACGAATCTGCAGCTTGCTGACGACTCCATACAGGTCGAAGATGACCTGGCGAAGCAACTTGCGCAAATGAAAGTGATCGTCCAAGGCACTCAAGGTTAGTATAGTGAGCATGCACCATTGTCTCGCCGCATCGGTTCATTCTAGGAAAGAGTAACGTCATTATGCTGACTGCAGTCTGCTTTAGAAACCGACACGACTCCGGAGCAAGTACATGCTCTGGTTCAAGCCACCGTCCAGGAAGATCTGCTATACGAACTTGCCCGCAACCTCCGTCATCTTCCCTTTCAAGCCAGAAAAGATACGCAAACCATATTCTCTCAGATCCTTCGTTTTCGACCCGCCCAGGCCAACAAAGGCGACCCCCCAGTGATTTCTTATATTGTACACAACCGTCCCGAGATCATTGTTGAGCTCTGTCGGGGATACGAATCGCCGGAGAGCACAATGCCATGTGGCGCAATCCTGAGAGAAGCACTCAAATTCGACGTGTGTGCGGCCATCATCCTATACGACCAGTCTACCGAGGGTCAACCCGCGATCAGATTGACACAAGTCAACCCCGATATTCCCCAGAAAGGCAATGGCATCTTTTGGAGATTTTTCCATTGGATCGACAAGAGCAGCTTCGAAGTGAGCGCCGATTCCTTTACAACATTTAGGGTAAGCAACGCCTGTTATGATGTGAAGTAGTCATAAGGAGTAACCGTGGCATAGGACATTCTCACTCGTCACAAGAGTCTTGTGACCTCCTACCTCACCACCAACTTTGATCTCTTCTTTTCCCGCTTCAATGCACTCATCCAATCGAGTTCCTATGTTACCAAGCGCCAGAGTATAAAGCTTCTAGGTGAGATTCTGTTGGATCGAGCCAATTACAGCGTGATGATGGCATATGTTGAAAGCGGGGAGAACCTGAAGCTCTGCATGCAATTGCTCAAAGACGATCGCAAAATGATTCAGTACGAGGGGTTCCACGTTTTCAAGGTATGGTTCTCTATTTCTCCGGCGCGAACGATGTGCTGCGAGTCGGCGATTGCTGATGAGGAATGTGGCATAGGTATTCGTCGCAAATCCTAACAAATCGGTCGCGGTGCAACGGATTCTCATCAACAATCGGGACCGTTTGTTGAAATTCTTGCCTAAATTCTTAATGGATCGCACGGATGACGACCAGTTCACGGACGAGAAGAGTTTCTTAGTCCGTCAAATCGAGCTGCTACCTCAGGAGCCCATTGAACCAGCACGATCAACCCAGGAGCCATCCAGATCGCGAGTCAACACCGCCGCTGCGGCCTAGTGCATGGCCTTGAAATGTCCCTTCACCTTTGTCACTACAGCAGGACTGTTTGTATTGGATCAGCGCCCCTTATTGCATTGATGGCCTACTGGTATATGGCTGCCACGGAGTTATAGAGTGTGTTTCCGTATCTAGGACTCGGATAAAATGATGTTGACATGGATTACTACCGTAAACAGAAACGCCACTACAAAAGAACAGGAAGAGAGAAAAAGAGACAGACCTGTGTCAGTCCTTGCGTTAAGGAAGGATTGTCAAGGGCTTGATCCCTTCAATAATATCCCAAAAATGATGCGGGAGAGAAGGCCGGTGATAGTCTGTCGTAAGGGAGTAGTTTATTTGAGAGAACTTGGTTGTAGAACCAAGGATTTGGCCCAGCTGTTATTCAAGGGATATTTACCTTTCCTGTAGTCAGAGTAACCTCTTCCCTCGTGGCAGTACCGTGTTTAAGGTAATATAATAATGATTATGTTCTAGACTTTATTGCTGTCCATGGGGCAGTGAGCTCCACCGTAGGCACATCATAATAATCTATCCTGTGGATTCAGATCGCACGGGTTCAAGAACCACCACTCAGAGTGAGATCAGACCACAATAACTATTCAGTGATAAGAGTCTGCTTCTATAGATCGAAGCCGATTACTTCTGTCCTCTCCAAGTTTAATAACAATTATTATCTACTTTGTCAATAATATTCGGCTTCAACAAATTTTCCGCGATTGACCCACCAGAGCGCGCGGCTTTTGCAGTCTGGAGCCCAAAGTGGGAACATTTATGGAGTTCAACTGTGCAATAATCGTTTTTATTGTAGCCCCCCTATAATGATCCCTGCGTTGAATTTTCAACTGGTATCTTCATAGTCTAATTTTCCGAGTTATACGTAGCTAAGCGAATTTTTCCTTTTTTACTTTTTTCTTTTTAGTATTATCATCAAAGGCTGTAGAAGGTCTGGGGGAGAGGTAGCCTTCCTACCTCAGGATGGCGAGACCAAATTCGTTCCACATAATAAGAGTCGACGCTGTCATGAGCTAGAAAGGACAATGATGATGTGAAACCAGGATAGTAAGCATCCATTTTGAATGGCATAGGGCATTTAGCACATCTAGATACATCTAGATATACCTTTATTGCTATCGACTTCTCCCTAGATTCCACTCAAAGCAGAAAGTGAAGCTTAATTCCTCCTTGCCAAGCATCCAGGGAGCCGCGGTACTACTTTGGTACTTCGTTACTGCTCTGTATCCTCCTACACTAAGTGCTCGCTAGCCTCGTCAGTCTCTTCTTTTTTATCTCTTATTATTCCATATTCATCCTCCTTGACGGGGAGGCCGATCATGTTCAATCCCTTGGGCCATTGTCATTCAATTTCGCTCCTTTTATCACCTGAGCACCCTGATCTGGTATTCTTTGTGCCCAACATCCTGCAGAGTCCAGTGAATTCGACTTGATTGCGTTCGCATCCCCAAAGCGCCCCTCGCCGTCGTCCACGTCCCGCCTGCCTGCCCTCCCTTTGAAAACAAATTTGTCTGTACTTCCCGTTAAAAAACGAACGAAAAAGAATCCATAATATTACGGTCGCTACGATTTCAATCACCCCAGATGCTGCAAGTCATGCCAGGATAAATCGGTCAGCGAAAATGATCATGGGGGACCAACGCTCTTCTTCGGTGCCGGCCGTCGTCATGACGGAACCGGACTCGACCATCTCTGCCCTGCGCTACGAGGACACCGTCGCCCTCGCAGACTCTGGGGCCATCCGATCCGCCTCGGTTCCTACTCCGCACGACTACGCGATATGTTCAGAGAAGCAATCGGCGTCAACGAGCGCATCATCGTCAGACAACCACGGGAGCAAGTTTGAGTCGGTTGCATTGGCGTCGCATCAGAACAGCAGTACGGAATCGGGCATCGCGCCCTCCTCGGTGTCAATCGCAAAGGATAAGAGGCTGACGCCGCCGGAGGACAGTCATTCTACTTTCAGCCGGCGGTCGGTGCGCAGTATTCCCAGTATCATTGTCAATGATGCTGGGTCGCGCCCCGGGTCTCGGCCTGGATCGCGGCCAGGCTCTCGACCAGGGTCTCGGTGGTCTGAGCGCAAATGGAGCGCTTTAAGAGGGAAACGATCTGGAGAGTTTGACAGGAGGCCGGAGTCACCGCCGCCTCCGCCTCAGATCGAGAGACCGTTCAATAAGATCTCGCTTGATATCCCGAACGGTTCACTTGACGGCCTCGGACCGCAGTCCATGCGATTTTCGAAACGTGGCAGTCTTATCAAGGAGGAGGATAGGCAGCGCCTCCAGCGTGAGATCTCGAAGCATGAATTGCCGCAGCAAGACCAGTCGCAGGCAGCGGCAGAATCTTCAATAGAACAGTCAGAGCAGACCGAGACGGGTGAAACAAGTGCACCAGCGACTGTAGCGGAGGAGAACAGTGCGGAGCCAGAACTCTATGGGGCGCAACGACGCCGGACGAAACCATTGTCGTATTTGCGCGCGAGGCACAGCAGCGTTCCGAGCAGAGCGATCTCGGCCGACGAGGACATGCTTTCGCGTCGAGTCAGGTTGATGTACGAGAAAGGCGACGAGAATGTGACCGATTCGGAGGTGGCCAAGTCCCTTGCAATGGAGAATGGAGTGCTGTGGGAGGAAGTTGCTCCCACTCCAACGGAGGCTTCTGCCGTATCTGGCCGCAGCGCGAGTGGTGGGGAGTCAGTTGGGCCTGACAGCAGCAATGGTTCTGGCCCAAAGAGGGAGCCCCACGAACTGGCCGGTGGTATTGAATACTGGCAAAATATCAAGGCAGGAGATGTCGATCGGTACGGCTTCATTCGGAGTACTACTTTCAACTCGGCCGATGGCACGGAGCATAGTCCCATCCAGCGCGTTTCTACCAGCCTGCTTCTGGCGTCAGAAACACCGCGACGGAAGCATTCCATCCGACCTCCGTCAGCCCTGGGGGGCAACCGATCTTTTTCGGGCCGATCACCAACACTCAAGATATCTGCGCCATCTATGCGCCCATCGTCTTCGCAAAGCACATACAGTTCCACTCTTCGACGGTCAACGTCTCGATTCCGCCAGGCGGCTAATCATCTTCCGCACAATCGCGATCGGCGGTTTAAGGATGAGGCGCGTGACATGCTCACACTTCCAAGCGATGCGGCCGCTTCTGGAACGGGACGGGACTCCGCCGTAGCTCGCGCGATGCGCAAGAAAGAGTGGGAACGTGAGGACAAGTGGACGAAGATGGCCAAGCCTACACGGAGAACCGCACTCGGCGGCGGGATGACTTTTGAATTCGACACGCAGAGTACCAAGCTGATCGAGCGGACATGGAAGGGTATACCCGACCGATGGCGCGCAACGGCCTGGTACGCATTCTTAGAGGCAAGCGCCAAGCGGCGCAGCGACAGCCCGACGGAACAGGAGCTTGTCGAGGCTTACAATGAATTTCAGCTCATCTCGTCCCCTGACGATGTACAGATTGATATTGACGTCCCCAGAACGATAACCAGTCACATTATGTTCCGCCGCCGTTATCGTGGTGGACAGAGGCTGTTGTTCCGCGTGCTGCACGCAATGTCCTTGTATTTCCCCGATACTGGCTACGTACAGGGTATGGCGGCGCTTGCGGCGACCCTCCTCGCCTACTACGATGAGGAGCATGCGTTCATCATGCTTGTCCGACTGTGGCAGCTACGAGGACTGGAGCGCCTGTACCAATCTGGGTTCTCTGGTCTGATGGAAGCCCTCAGTGACTTTGAACGAGATTGGCTTGACGCCGGCGAAGTCGCCGCAAAACTAAACGAACTGGGAATCCCGCCCACCGCGTACGGTACCCGCTGGTATCTCACGCTGTTCAATTACTCCATCCCCTTCCCCGCGCAACTTCGCGTATGGGATGTTTTTATGCTCCTCGGTGATGCGGAGGAACCGCCCGGCAAAGGAACCCCCAAGTCCGAGCCACAAGTCACAAGCGCCTTCGGCAGGGGCCTGGACGTCCTCCATGCCACGTCCGCCGCGCTCATCGATGGCATGCGAGAGATCATCCTCGAGTCGGACTTTGAGAATGCCATGAAGGTCCTCACTAGCTGGGTCCCTATCCAAGACGTGGAACTTTTCATGCGAGTCGCCAAGGCGGAATGGAAAGTTCATCGTCGCAAGAGGGGGGATGAAAGCGTGACCTCGTTCATTTACCCTCAGTCAGACCACCCGTATGACCTGTCCATACTTAATTGCCCGCATCGCATCTATAATCATCGCTATACATCCGCACGGCACCATCTGCCATATAATCCATCCATACGATTCCACTGATGACCAGAATCCCACACATGGGGTTTTGACGGACAGTCTCTCTCATATATAATATTCTAACGGCCATTGCATTACATTTGGGAGGGCAAGACATAATCTCTCTCGTCTTAAACGTCTCGGAGTTTATTTATCTCACCACCGCTAAATGGCTTTTGTGCTGGACAGTCCGCCGAAGGATAATAACCAACAAGCCCTTCAGACTAGCCCCCGAGACGATCCTACTACATTACCACTACACCTAATTACGTCTTTCCAGCAACGGATATAATAAGTCGACGGCGGTTACGAGCGTCGCCTCGATATAAATATCATGCCACCGCCTTCACTCGCTTCAAATACTCTCATTGCCCTAGGGTCCTCCTGTTTCTACTTCATCCACAGCCTCATTCCTTTGTCTCGTATCTTTCTTTCTGGCTCTATTCATTCTGTCCCCGACTCTCTCTGGCACGTATCTCATCCTCTTCCTTTTCTTTCCTGTCGTGCTCTGTCTTACCCCTTCATTTCCGTCCTGACACTTATCAACTCGTGGCCCAGACCGCCTATATACGTTCCATTATCGTCCCTTGAAGCAAGGGCACATCCTAGTCTGCTTTGATTCTAATCCTGATACCCCAAGCAATGCCCATCTTGTCATATCGTTAGGTCACTATATGTGCCTGTTTCGTATAGATTTAATCAACAGATATTCTTGTCCATCACCCAGGTCGTATGCGTATCTTTTCGGCTTACTAAGTGGTTGAACAATTCTTCAATTAGGGGCAGCTGCTTGATCTAGTGGTAGCGGCATCTATGTCATTCTATTTTTCCAAATAATTTTGTACAATCCACAATTCCCAACATGAGGACATTGTGCTGAACGGTCATAAGACTGACAGGCCATT